TGAATATAGGATGGTTTGACTAATTATCTTTAATACTAATCCTGCTATATTTGCTCGAGTGTGTGTGTGTTTGAGTTTAGTAGCGTCTATACGCAATAGCGGTCCTAAATCAGTGTGATAAAAAATAAGGGTAATGCCTGACGCTGGGATTCAGCTGTTGTAGAATCTCTTTTCCGTACACTTTCATACCAAATAAAGGTCTCCCCAACATTGTTATCTCAAGAGATTTATCGATATCAAGTTTCTTTTCGTATCTACACAAAAAGACTAGTTGAGTCATAGGACTGACGAAAGCTCTGCGTGTTTTCACTGGAATCGAAGAAGATTGCCTCGAGAGCAGTGTCAACCATAATGTTCCAGTAAAGCCAATCGACAACTGGTCAAGAGGAATTCGCGGTCGTCTACTGATTTGATTGACTTTCGAATCTCTTCAACAAGCATTTTCACTCGAAGTGGAAGTAGGCTCAACAATTATGAAACAGATTCCTCGAAACCCAACTTTTCTTCTCATGCACTACATTTATGTAAGCACGAATATCCTAATCATACGCTTCTCTCTTCTCTCATAATAATTTGATTTATTCTTTTCCCTATTTAAATTCGTAACTTTTCAAAGACTCATTTTTTCTCTCCCAACTAATCGACAACTGTCAGTTTTTTTAACTGGTCAGTGGCCCTATCTACCCTTGATTTTCTCCTTGGTTTACCAAGTGTTCCCTGCTCCTCGACCAAGCGTCCATCCTGCTGGTATCTGGCCACTCAACTTGGGGATCTGCTCTCTTCAGTCTTGGTAAATTTGGTCGATCATGTAAACACTGTCCCAGCTACCTCTTCGCCGTTCGAATCTTACTTATCTGAATACAATTTGACTTCTACTTCTCCTTTCACCTACTCAATTTGCCGGAGTCTCTCAAAGAGTGATTTTCCAGTCACATTGAAAGCTCAAGTTTCGCCTTGTGCTATCTCATTCGCTGAAATAAAAATTCTATTTACTGATTGGCTGGAACGTCCGCAATTGCGCAACATAATACTTCATCCTGGGAAGAAGGTCGATTATGCTCAGGTATTTCCTTATAATTCTTTTACTTAAAACTTGATTTATTTATAATCATATCATCAATTTATATTATGAGTTTGTCCGAGTAGAGTCTAAGAGAAAGATAGAGTCTTTGAAAGTGTTCTTACCCAAATATAATTAATTTCCTAAATTGAACCCTTTTTCCTCGAATGTATGCTTACTGCTTTGGTAAACATGTTTTTCCAACTCAAAAATATTTATCATTCCCTTATTTAGATTTTGCATAAATAAAATTAAAAATCTTTAAAGTTACATTGCTTTTTGACAATCAGTCTCTTAGATGTCCGGTGGATTTCATTATCATCTTGTACGCACTATGATTGATCCTAATATTCCTTAACGAATCTTTTCCCTAATAAGGCTACTAAAATGACTAATTGATTTTATTTTTTTCGTGCTTAGTAAATATTTATCCT